TTTCCCGCAACCAAGAGGCATTTCTTTCAGCCTTTATAATATTTCCCTGATATCTCTGTCCACACACAGGAGTCAACGTTTTCTTTCTGCACCCTGCAAAAGGCAGTGCATTCAACAGCAAGTTAAAAGAAAACTATAAATTTCATGTTTTAACCTTCATCAGCTATTCATGTTTTGTCTGTCATCTAAGATACCAGACCACGGAGCTGGAAAGCATGCCTGTATCTATTCTGCAGAAATAAAGAACACATTCAGTAATGTAACTAATGCTTCGTATCACCACCTTCTCTGTCGCATTCTGAGAAGGTATTTTGTCCAACTGGTGCCTCACCAAATTTCTGACATTGTATAGATTTATCTTGTAATTATAATACACTAAACAGAAAAAAATTATTTCCATTTTTGTGACATATAAGTTCCATTATAATAACAACTAACTACACTTACGAGATTTTTATTAAACATTTGCACATTAAAAAAACCATATCTGTAAAATTCCATTTTATGATGACTTGGAAAGCCTTGACTTGGGTTAGGCAGTTGAAAGCAGGATTCACAGAACATCACATGGCCAGAATAACTTCTGTATCTTGTGCTATAAGGTATTGCTTTGGGTCCCTTCTGTCTAATCTATATTAAAGCTCAACGTGAGATGGTAAGTTCTGTAGGTGACAGTCTTAAAAGCTAAAACCAGAATTCATTCATAGTTTATAAGGGAAAACAAGTGGAATACTTACCTGTAGTAAAAGTAAGAACAAACCAAGTCTTTTTCAGACAAGTATTCTCCTAGACTTTAAAAGGAATTCAGCTTGAGAAACATATTTGAAAGGGAACACTACAAAGACCGTAAGTACAACATGCAGCAATATGAAATTATGGAAGTGAAAACAGATGTAGACAACCAGGAAGTGGTTGATTACATGAAGAAGCAAACATGAAGAAAAAGCAAACAAGCACCTTACTTAGGAGAGTAAGTCTTTTATCTAGGGCATCTAAGATTAACATGCACAGCACATGCTTGTTTCAAAGTCAGATGGAAACAGGTAAGGGAAAACACTACGGGTTAAGATTCTATTTTTGATCTTCAAAAAAGAAAGTAAAGAAAAAGAGCTTCTACAGAGGAACAGTTCACTATTGCTCAACAAAATAATTCACTGTTTGTCAAATAACTACAAAATAATTCACTGTCTGTCAAATAACTACATGTCAAAAGAACTGTGAATCTACTGCTTTACCCATAATGCAAACACAGAGATCAAAGTGATGAGTCTCTGTGGAGGAATCAGCTTATAAGTAAAAATGTTGTGAAGTAACAGTCTGCCACCTAACCTACTGCAACGTTAGACCAACATTAATTCACTGAGCTTGTCTGCATCTCTCCCTGCATAAGAGAACAGATATCCAGTCTTCCTTGGACAGCATGTAAGTTGTGGAACGCAATGTGACAACGTCACACACCTCAGAAGTATAAACCGGCACAAAAAGTACAAAAATTCAAGGACATTAGCTATCAAGATATGTCCAGATGTTGCCAGCACAAGGTCCTTCACTGCTAATTGTCTGAAGCTAGAGAATATACTAAGGTTAAGACTGACCTACAGGCAACCTGGGGTTTTTGTCCTTGAAATGTCTAGTATTAACCACAGCCAGAGACAGGACATTAGTCAAACTACACCTTTAATCTAAACCAGTATGTTTCACTACACTTAGGAATTGTTCCTTTACATACTAAAAACAATAAAAGCCTAGTTATTGGAAAAAACAGTTTAGAAACCACAGTAAAATGAGGAGTTACACACTTAAAACAGGACTTGGACTTTAGCTACCTAAATCCAAAGAACCTTTTGTGCTTAACCACCACTTAGTCCCAACATCTGTCTTAAGTATCTATAGTACACCTACATACACAGGCTCAGAAATTCTCAAAGCAGCTGGACACTAACTTCTTATGTCAGTCAAGCATTTAAAAAGTAGATGGAACAGTATCTGTTTGGGAAAATGTTAAACTTGCAGGTGTGCTTTGGGTGTGCATAACAGACAGAACTGAGCTCAACATAAGCAGCTGCTACAGACACTTTCATTCACAAACACGGCCTTAACTCATTTAGGTTTGTAAATGTGGTACGTGAAGGACTTGCATGACAGGTTAACTGGACTACCTGTTCCTATACTTTGCAAACAATGAGAAATAGAAAGCAAAACTAGACTGTCCACCTCCATAACACTGGTCTCTCTCTTTCTATTGCTCAAACCAATGACTGTCAGAGATCACTGCTCTCAGTCTAGCCCATTCAATCTAGTATCTCTGTCTCCCACAGTTCATCTGGAAAAAGTGTGGCAAGTATTCCCATTCAAGCTTGCCTCTACTCTGTTGATTAAGAGCGTAGAAAGAGCAAGAAAAGATTCCTTCAGGTGACAGACTACCAGTCAGATCTTCCACCTCTGAAGTTTTCCCAAAAAAAGATTTCAACCTATGCCATACACCTGGCACTGGAATTTACAACCTGAAAAGTTTATCTTCCCTCCCCCTCTACCCGTTTCTTTTATTAAGAAAAAAAAAAAAAGTAACCAATTAAAGATACGGTCACAACCCATTTTATCATATCTCTGGAAAGAAAACACCCATCAACCTCAACAGCTTAAGGATGGCAAAATGCTAATCTTATATTATCTATAGTCAGACAGACAGGAGAATGCCTTGATCAGATATGACTTGTACCTAGATTGAAGAAAAAAAAAAAAGACCAAAATATTTGCTATGGAGGTCTTCAAAATTAAAGTTTTTTTTCAAATTCTTTGACACACAATGTAAGGCAGTTATTCAGAACTCCATGGACTTGCAAGAGGGTTAGTTCAGAGAAGTACAGAACAGGGCTGCACTCAAAACTGCTGTTCTGTTCTCACAAACCATATGCAGGAAAACCATATACATCTCCATTCTTCAAACTAGGAAAAAGGAGTTCAGGTAAGGTGGAGTGACAGAATAGTTTTTCTAGTAAAATAATAAACAAGACTGATATTTTATCTGCTGTAACTTAAGATATCTTTGTATGAAATGCTATAAAAGAACTACAATGGCTGTATTTCAGCTGGTGTTTATTCCTTTGAGTTTACAGATGGCTGATCAAAATTTGATAGAACACTTGAACTGACATAACAGCTTTTCTCTTGAGAAATAAGTGTCCAATTCATCACAAGGATTAGTATCACTGATTACTGCTAGCTGAATTCTGTATGTTATACAAGTTGGGGAAAAATAAAAATAACTAAATCGAGAATCTTTCAATACCTCATCCATACAAGAAAAATACACGGATGGCATAAGAAGCTGTTTCTTGCCCTCTGGCTCAAAGGGACACTGCAATCAGAGTAACAAGACCATTTCCTTCCTTTTATTATTTATAGCCATGCTGTTTGTTTTCTGATATTCTGTCCTGCCACATTTTACTTGCCTTCAACAGACAGATTTCTTATGAGTTGTCTAAGTGTCACATATCATGGCCTGAAAAACAACACTGAGGATTGTTCTGAAATTATACAAAAGTACTTAGCACTCAGGTGTTTCTTTTAAGGAGAGAGAGACAGAGAAGAAAAAAGAAAAAAAGTTCCTTGTGCTATATGGTCATGCACCTCAGTTGTACATTAAAGAAGAAAAAAAAACCCACAGGAAGAAAACGGCAGATAATAGTGAGGATATTTATCACCTGCATCTTTAGCTACCTAAATCCGAAGAACTGGGCATGAATTAAGAGCAGTTATTCTAGTTCCCTGAAAGATATTTCTACTCCATTTTTAAACCCAGAAAGGTAGTTCAATCCTCATTACACATATGGGAAACTGAGGATTCAACCTAGCACTAGTCACCTAACACTCAGCATTAAATGCAAATCACCAGTCTTAATACTGTTACTACAAACCAGAAAAGCTTTCTTCTGTCTAATCTACACTGAAGCCAAAAGAAAACAAAATGTGTTCCCCAATTTTGCTAATCTGCTTTGCTGACATTACTCAAAACAGATAATCAAAGATACCCTACTCCAGTAGGAACTTCTTGTCACTGCTTGTTTGAAAACATGGCAACAAACACCTGTAGCTGTTCCCAGAGCCCAACATGAATGTTGCCTTCAGTGAGCAGTGACAGTTCTTCCGCTCCAGACATATGGAGGGGGCAAAGGAAAAAAATAGGACAAAAAGCAAAACAATGAAGCTACTAATTCCTGAGGATTCAACAAGGGGAAATCTTGTCATACGTGATAACACAAATGAAAACTATGCATCCACAAATCCCTCCCCACCTGGTTAATGCTCCTCTGTCACAACGGTTTACTCTGACTTTTCATCCAAAGAAACAGCTAGTAATCCCAGCCTTTCATACCAATTTTCAATTAGCTCATACTCTCATAATCTGATCACTCACAAAGCACACAAGCTCACTCACCTCACAAAGATGAAAGCGGCACCCACCTTGACAAAAATCTTTTGCCTGCTTAGATACTTGGTCTGGTATGAGTAACTACTCACCCAACAGCCTCATACTGTAACTGTCGCTATTTGAGACAGTTTTGTTTGGGTTTGGTTTTGTTTTTTGTGGGGTTTTTTTGATTTTTTTTTTTTACTTAGAAATCAATATGAAGTTACAATAAAAAACATTTCAAATAGCATCAGTCCATGAACATTTATTTTAATTACTACTACTACACAATGAAGGAGACATTCTGAAGCTATGTGACCATTCAGTGATTTTCTCAATTTTACAGCTAGAAATAGGAAGAGATTAGGTTTACTCACAAACACTCCTACAATATTAATTTGTCTGTACAACAGACAAACATAACTGCTTACCTTGCCTAGATATTACTTGCACACTGAGTTGCACTGTTCCATCTGTTTTTACCCCTTGATCAAAAAGGCTTCGATCTGGGTCCAGCTTGATAAAAGCAAAAAAAATAAAAAAATTATGTATTAGTCTCACAATTACAAGAAACTTAGTCTCCTTAAAACTTTAGAAACACTTGGTATCTGCAGCAAATTTTCTTAAGAAGCATGCAAATATTTTTAGACACAGTACATGACAGAAAGAATTTGACTGGAATTTGAAACTTGCCACTCTGTTCTGTTTAAGGTAGTTTCACTTACAGGGACATTTTTTAACCTAAAAAAAGGAATGCTATACCTGGAAGTACCTTCACTTTGTGGAAAGCATCTACAGTTCCTTTTCTCAGTTTTGAAAACCTTCTTAAAAATTATTGTCTTTAAAGCAGTACTCTCCCTGTTGTTTCTGGAGAAGCCACAGATGTCTGATTACAACCACAAATAAAACATGCAGCTAAATACAATGTGGAACAGTTATGCTGTCTAAAGCGGTGATGCCTGTTAAAATAGCGTGTGTGGGGGGAATTTCTTGCCTAATGTTTTGCTATCTGTGCGCCTGGATAGTATAAAAACCTCACTTTTTTCAGATTCAAAACAAGATTAGACCCACGAAAGTTCAGGCAGCAACAAATGATGTGGGCTACCTCAAGAGAAGATTGTATTGTCATTGCCCTTGTTCTTTTTTTCTACTTGTAAGGTGGTAATTTTTTGCTTTCTCACCCTCACCCCAGGAATCCCGAATGTATTTTGATTTTATTCAGACTGAATTACTGTGTACATACTAAATGGTCTGACAATAATGAACCTGACATAAAATTAAACTTTTAATTGTAATCAATATACCAAATGAAGCATGAATTCCATGAACAATGGAAGAAAAGGACAAAGTATGTAAAACGCTTCTCCATTAAGAGGCTAAATCTTTCATAGCCTTTCAATTTACCTGGATATCTTGCAGACAAATTTCATGTGCATCCAAGGAACACTGCAGTCTGGGTTCCAGCAGCTTCTTAAGATTTCCAATTGGTTCACTGATGTCAATAGCTTGACTCACAAATTCCGCTGTGGTGTAGGTTTGCTCAACGATGCTTAAATACCAAATTAATACAACAAATTATTACCTACATATTAATATAGAAGGTATAGAAAAGCTTAAAAAAAGTTAGAAGTAAACTGCATAAAAGGTAAATGCTGACTCTGAAATCTTAATACCATGCAGAAAAACTCTTAGCCTGAGTAGAGTGATTTACTAAATCTAGTCCCATTGATTTTACAGTCGTGTAGCTCTTCTTTTACCCTGTTGCCATTAAAAAACTAGGTTAAATACCAAGATTATTTTCAGATCACTGTTTTCAATAGATTAAGTCATGATTAGTATATTACACATTATTAACTTGCAAACAGAGTAAACTAACTCTATTCACCTTGTATAGACTGTATTTAAAAGATATTCAAATTAAAAACAAACACAGAAACTTAACAAACAGAGAAAAAAAGAACAAATAAATGTCCACTCTCATGCCCACTAATTGTCCATGTCTTTTCGCTAGTCAGCACAAGGATAAGCTTAATGGATACAAGAGAAAACCAAAAAGAACTACAGCAACATGGAGCCTTGAAGGGAACATCAGTCATGTGTTATGGTTGTCCTGCACTAAAATGATTACAGTATTGGCACATGCATTCACAAACATCAATGTTATGTGCTGTCATAAAATGTTATCAATGACCTTAGACAGTTGGTCTCTCTGCATTTACCCAGAAGGAAATCAGGAAGTATCCAGACATAGTCAGTTTGTAGGTAGTAAAAATATACAAGGAGCTCCAAATAAGAAGAAACTAATAAGTGGTTTTGATCAGTTCTTCAAAACAGGTTCTTAAAGAGCAGGTCGCCTATCAGCCTCAGCTATCTCCATTCAACACTAACTGCCTCTCTGTGCTTCCAAAAACAGTTGTAAAAATTAGGAGAGAAGCATTAGGAAGAAAAAAACCAGGTTGAGGTAATTAAGTTAAGGACATCAGACTTTGGTATCTACAGTTTGAAAGGCCCTAACAACAAAATAGTCAAGAGATGCAGAACATAATTTATTCTCTGTTAAAAAAAAATGACCCTGTGTAACAGTAAAGCAATGGACTGGAGAAATGGAAAGGTTCATCTCAATTACAGAAGGATACACTGAAGCCGAAAGGTTTGCAGCATTTACATGTAGACATATTTCTACAGACATGAAACTAGGCGAAGAGAACTACTATGAACGCAGGAAGTGTTCAACAAAATGGTTTGGGATTTAAGCAATTAAGATTGAAGAACATGATAGCACTATACTGATTTCCTATAGTGGCTACAGTTCCACTTCAAGAAAACCGCCATTTAATTAGATAAGAAACAGAAAAAGTGAAGCAAGCACAAACAAAACTAAGAACTTTGTATCCAGCAAGAAAGCTGAAAAACTGGAAACATGGGAGGATTACAGAGATCACACTGAGTCAGTTACTTCTGCCAGTTTAAAGTTACTTGTTTCGCCTAGCAAAAATAGAAAACACTTGTACTTATTTCATAACCACGGCCATCTCTGAAGAAATAATTCTTTATTATTGGGTATTACACAATACCCAATAATAAATCTGAACAACCAAACTTAAGTGTGGGCAGCCACAAATCCGAAACCAATTAAATAAAACAAATAAATAAATGAATTGCAGCCTAAGGAGCCCAAAAAGAAAAGGCAGTACATACCTTTCTTCCGTGCATTCCTGTTTCTCAGTTCCATCAATTTCTATTTCTATCAGCTCCTCTGCCTCTCTCTTAGTCATGGCTAAAACGTCTTAAGAGCTATGAACAGAAAATAATTTTTTCTTGTAAGTCACAGACCAACAAAACTAGATGACAGGTTGTGTCCTATCAAACTTTTTTTTTTAAACCACATACTAGGATAGCTTTTTAAAGACAAGAATTCACCCAAAAAATAAAGCCAAAAGCTAATACTGATTTCACAACATAGGTGACAATACCTGTTTTCCTCAAACAAATGTTCTAGGGGCAAATCCAGGACTGTAAATGGACATCAGCACAGAGTCCATAGGCTGATTTTCCTGGTGGCATCCAAATGTACTGAAGGTTTTCACTGTGGACCAGCTAAAGCTTTTAGTGGCTGGTTGCAAAGAACCTCTGAAAATTCTTTGAAAATTATCTGTATTTTTGCCATCTAGATTCAGCTACATACTACCTTCCTAGCCAGGCTGAAAGATGCTGCCTATAAATTTAAGCAGCATTTTACATAAAATAGTGCAACAGGAAGCTAGACAGAAGATCCATTATTTCCTCATAGGTGAATAAACTCAACAATAAAGTGATTAATGACTGTCCCATCTTTCCACACATCCCTCTCACAGGTGATCACTTGATGATATGTGCGTAACAAATGCACCTTGTGTCCTGGGTTAAGCTGAGACAGAGTTAACTTTCTTCATAATAGTGAGCAAGAGGCTGGTTTGGATGTGTGCTCAGAAGAAAGCTGATAAAAAGTGTTTACGTGGCTGCCAAGATCTTTCAGCTCCTCTGGCTGTCCACAGACTAGAGAAGCTGGGAGGGAGCACAGCCCCAGTTACTAGCCCAGGATTTCATCTTAGGTTCAGGATTGAGACCCAGAGTGGCCAATAATCTATTCCATAACATGCACGTCATGCCCAGTATATAGGTGAGGACCCTCCAGAATATTGGGCCTTTTTGTTCCGGGTCCCCTATTGCTTCAGATCATCTCGCTCCAGGTGGTCGCTCTCCCAAGGCCTTCTCTCCATGCCCCCATCAGCTCTTGGTCTGGGACGCTCAGACTGTTATCTCCGTTCTCTGACTGCAGTTTCGGGACTCTCCCTGCTCTGGGATCGTTAGCCGGGAACAGGCTGAGCCTTGGTCATCAGGTTGGGGGGGCAGTATCACTGTGTATCACTCATTCGTATATTTGTATACAGTGATATTTTCAATATTATAGTAGTTTAGTTATTAAATTGTCCTTATCTCAACCCATGAGCCCTTTTTTTCCCTTTACCCCTTTAATTCTCTCCCTTATCCTCAGGTGGGGGGGGGGGAGATTGGGTAAGGGGGTGTGTGGTTTGGCCCCCAGCCAAGGGCTAATCCATCACACCTTGTTAAGTCACAAACTAATGCAGTATGTTAGAAATTAAAAGGAAAGCTATTCTGTGATGATTTTCTCATTGAGACTGCAGATTTTCATACCCTGTAGAATACTACAGCCTGTTGGAATGTAAGGGGGAAAGAAAGAAAGAATTACAGCATTTGGTCTGAAAAGACATAGTTTCTATAATACCATGTTTAACTAACCATCTCATACATCGTAAGTATAAAATACATACAATAAAGAACTGGCCCAAATTATATTACATTTTACAATAAATAACACTACCAACTCATAGGAAAAAGAGTAGGAAGTAGGAGTACAATGGAAAAAAAAAAAGTTTACCAGTAAGGTCACAAAAGGGATTAGGCTCAGATTTCTTTTCCTTTACATATTCACAAGTTATTTTTTGAGATAAGTGTGCAGACCTGCAGAAAAAACTCACCATCTTGAGTGATTTCTGGCACAAAATAGTCAATATTGGTCAATGCAAAGTGATACACAGTGACTAAATATTTTTGCAGCAGGGCAACTGTATAGAATTAGGTAGTACATTTTGAAGTCCTTATGGATTGGACTCCAAATTGGCAGCTGGACTAGTAACTGTTCACTCACTCTTCAAAGGCAATTTGTGGTTGCATCTCGTATAGAAAGAGGAAGAGACATGGTTCCATTGAGCACAGACGCAAGCAAGGGAGATGACAGGTGGAAAGAGGAAGAATAACACTATGAAAACATGTAAAGTCATTGACAGTTAGAGAAATCTAATAGGGAAAATTATTC